TAAATCCAGTCCATTCCTGGATGTTCAGTGGAGACAGCTTGTGCTGTGAATACATGCTTGTATCGAGCCCAAGATTAAATCTTTAACCCATATAAGGGAGGCGGTTGTATAGCTGGACAAACATATTACACAAAGAGCTAAATGTGTGTCCTAGGAAGGGAAGATTAGCCTTTCTTGGAAAAGCAAAATTCTTTTTTGATACTTCTGTTAACATCTTGAGAAAACCGTTGGAGTACAGTATATCTATGGTAAGAGATCTACCTTTACAACCACATGTCAGAATGAACTATGACTCCTTATCTTCTTACGAGTCAACAGATGGAAGGGAAACATAAATTGCCTATTATAGTAATCGGCTGGATTTTTGCAACATAGGTTAGCTTTGAACACAGCTCACCTAGTTTTAATGCCATGTGGTCTCTAGGCAGCCTTAGGCAAACAACTCTTTTATAACTTAATTTACCCCGCAAGACTGATGCAAAGATAATAAAATCACAAAGTGGTTTCATATACTCAGAAAAAGGGGTAGAACCAAGTTTATTACTACCGTATTAAAGGACGTGCTTTAAAATGTAAAACAATTCTTCATAGTTTTACAACACAGTTGCTTTTTCCCTTGGATTTCCTACAATCAGGGATGCCTCATATCACATTTAAGATTTAGTTTTTTCTTTAAAAAATTGAACCTACACTATTGGGATATTTCTTTTGCATTTTAGACATGTTCAGCCCCAAGCTGACTGGCTGGTATTGGAAAAACCAAAGCGGGCTAACCCTACCCTGATTAATCCTCTGCTGGGAACTCACTCAGAAAAGGACAGCAGGCTGTAGGCTAAATTTGGAGAAGATGCTAATGATAAACCAGTTCCATATTGTTACTCATGTTCGTGTAATCACCAGGGAACAAGTTCAACACTTTTATCTTTCTCTGCATTTTAATACATATTTATTTTGCTTTGGCGTTTTTTCCCTTCCCAGTATCTTAAAGAATCCTTTCACCAGCTTGTATCAGTTTAATAACCAGCTTGGTCTAGTGCCGTGATGGCGAACCTATGGCACGTGTGCCAGAAGTGGCACACAGACCCATCTCTCCAGGAACGTGAGCTGCCACCCACTGCTCTTCCGGGTTCTGGTGCACTGGCCAGCTGGTCTTCACATGCACGGGAGTGCCGGAAACTGGAAGAGCAGATCCCCAGTGCACATGCACACACTGGGAAGATGATCTTCCAGTTTCCGGCACGTGCATGCACGTGCATGCCAGCTGGTCTTCATGCATGTATGTGCACCAGAAATCTGAAAACCAGGTGGCCAGTGTGCATGCATGCACCAGAAACTAGAATATCATCTTCCCAGCACGTGCATGCGCAAAAGGCAGCTGCTCTTCTGGTTTCCGGCACACATGCCCGCTCCCATTTCGGCACTCAGTGCCGAAAAGGTTTGCCAACACTGGTCTAGTGCTTAAGGCACCAGGCTAGAAAGTGGGAAACTTGTGAGTTCAAGTCCCATTTTAGCCAGGAAAACCAGCTTGGGTGATCTTGGGCCAATCACTCTCTCTCAACCCAACTCACCTCACTGTTGTGGGGAAAATAGGAAGAGGCATGTGGATTGTATGTTTGGTGCCTTGAATTGTTTGTAAAAATAAAGGTAGGATACAAATAAGTACATAAATAACCAGATAAAGCAAAAGGAATAGTTATACTCTTTTATGAGGTTGCTATGCTGAATGTTTTCAAAGCTGCATTTGATTTGAATTTTATTTAGCTGGTGCAACAGGAAGAAGACCTCTCACAAGGATAATGTTTCTAAAACAGCAGTTGAACTGAATAGCTATATCCCTTCACCTTTCTTTGATGCCAAATACAGTGTTGCTTCAAATGCCACTAACAATTAAGGCTTTCTTTTCTAACTGCTGTATTCAGCATTAATACAATCCAGAATAAAATTCAAACAATCAAATTAATGGTGTGTTTTAACATCAAAATATTGCATGGTTCCTCCTAATTATCGTAGCTACAGTACTGTGAATCAGATTTTTTCATTGTTTAGTTTGAGAAAATAAAAATAAACTTAAGTTGGAAAAAGCGTACTACCACCAGGTTTATGCATCATAATTAAGATGATGTCAGACCTTACCTTGCCCAGTTTAAGGAGGAAACGGGTCCAGAAAGCTCTATCACTATTTATTAGCACAGAAATAGTTTGGGAAGTGACACGCCTAAAATCAAACAATCCATATTATAGTTTGTTGCACTGTATGAATACAACCAATGGCTAATCTAAGTATTATACTAACCCATGCTTTATATGATCGTACATGTCATGTCATAATTTAATATGCAAGCCAAAATACTCCATAAATATAAAACCACAATGATTAGATTCATACAGTGTACCAAATCAAATACATCACATTATGGCTTGACATGGGTCAACCCAGCAAATGTGTTCATAGCTCTCCTGAGATTTGTATTTAACATTTTCGGTTTTCATCCAAGCCTAAGACTTTTGCCATTGCATTATTCTAAACTAAAATGCTGAACTGGAGAAGCTTCTTGGATGAGCAGCAGAACATTTTCAAGGAAAACAAACGAACCAAGAAAACCTAGTTGCCTTTTGAAAAGCACTTTTGGGACGACCATGATCTGGATGACTGAGAATCTCCACAGATATACTAAACCAGAGGTGGTATTCAGCCGGTTCTCTACGGTTCAGACGAATTGGTAGTGGCGGATGTGGGAGGCTCCGCCCACCTGCTCTGACATAATGTGTGAGCACTGCCCATGCACAGAAGGCAGTGCGCATGCACAGACGCGGCACATATGCTCACATTTGCGAACCGGTAGGGAAGGTAAGTGAATTATACCGCTGTTATAAACTAACATTGCCATTCAACATTTATACACTCTGCAAGTCTGTCTATTGCCAAGTAACTATAACACATATTTCATTCATAATGTAATAGAGTAATGATGACACAAGAACACCTAGGTAAAAGTCCTGAGAATTCTGTATATTCTCTCAGAAAGGTAGGGTGTGGCCAGCCATGAGGACAAAAGCTTGACAGTACCTACCCGACCTTGGCTGATCTCAGCAACTAAATAGGGTCAAATCAGGCCTCTACTTAGACAGGATAGAAAATCCCTGGTTTGCAAAGTGTCCTGGGAAAACAACCCCCCCCCAACCCACAATATTCTCCCTCAAAAGCCATTTCCATACCGCTGCCAAGAAAACTGTGGACATGCTTGTGAAAACACCACTTAACCCAGAGGAGATTATCTTATTACAATAATTTAATTCAGCATTGTTTAGTTTGCAAGCATTTGATTGCTTGCAGAAATTACTGCCATGTCCCTGCATTTATATTCATCATTTTCAATTTGTTCCAATACAATTATTTTCCTTAAATTAGCATCTAAATGAGAACATCAACATTTACAGGACTGATTACATTTAATGAACAATGCTACGTAACATAATAAATATACACCTATGCTCTGATAGAAGAGTTTGATTTGTACATGTTAAACTATGGTTTAATCACTATTAGCTAAATAAAGCTGCAATTGTCTGGGTTCACAAACAGTGTAACTTTGGTTTATAAACCCCAATCACTCATGTTAAGCCCCAACTGTGTTATATCTTAATTAGAAGTGCAAACCCATCTCTTCCTTACTTCCTTAAAATAAATCCTTGCATTAAGAGATGCTGGTCCCTGCCTTAAACAGAAGCAACCCAGACTGGCTGGTTCAAGATGGGAACTGGTTTCTGGGCAGGCAAAAGGTGATTTTCAGAGCCACTGATCAGGATGTTTCATAAAAGGGATTGCAAACACAGGTCTGCACGGATCTGACATAACAACATTCCTGAACAGCAGGAGACAGAAAAGTGCATTTTCAGTTCTCAGCACCCCCTCCCTCACTAACCAAACACAATCCCTCTCTCCAAAGTTCTTTATATTATTTTCAGGTTAACCAACTATCATCAAGTTTCCCCTCCGGACCATTTTTTTTAGCCTCACCTATTTATTTTCTCTTGTTGTTGGAAACAGCCACTGCTTCTACCGTTACTACATAGCTTTAGTTCAAATTAATTGATCCACGACAATCGAGTGCCCTGGTGCCAATGCTCCTGATCACTGAAATTCTTTCCCCAACCCAAATGTATGGCAATCCTGCGAATTCTGGGAGTTGTAGTCCCAATTTAAACCGGAGGAAACCAATTTGGAAACGGAGAGGGGAGGATTTGAACGAAACTAGCCAGCGATCCTATAATAACTTTCAAGGGAAAAACCCTTCCTAATCCCACGAATCTACGGCTTGTCCAGATAATTTTGTTCATCGGATACCTTAAGCGATTGATCAACTTGAAATAACTTTTCTTTAAAGCGTTCCTTTTCGGCAGCTCTCAAAGATACGGATAAGCGAAAGTTTTCTAACCAAAAATCAGGAAATTCAATACTGTACTTTGACGTCCCTCTGTCTAAGGTTCCTCAACTCGGTGCGGATGTGGAAGAAACAGCTGTCTAAAGAATTCCGGACGCGCGGAAAGTAGCTTTGATTTCGAGACGACGAACCAAATACAAGAGAAGGAAAGAAAAAAAAAGTTCACGCCTCCCCTAACGGGTCATCAAGCGCGCGTAAAGGTAACAGCACAAAGCGATTTCCGCGTGGGCTGCTAAAGGTACTGCAGAGACCAGCGACTTTGACCAATTCCTGGAAAAGGAGGTGTCCCCTAGGGCGCCAAGGACGCAGGGAAAACACCTGCCCATGCGGAGAAATGGGTTGGCCGGGGATGTAGCGATGCCAAAAGGAAGGGGCGGCAGGAAGAAAGATGGAAGAAAATCCTCTTAATCGCAATAAAGAACCTGCACTGACCCTCCTAATCCGGCTGGCACCGAAGAGGGAGCGGGAAACTTTGGCGGATCGGATCCGGACACAGCCGCGAAAAGGGCGGCTCTCCCGAATTCCTTCTGGGGACTAAGAGAAGGGAGGAAAACTCACCCGATTTCCCCAAATGCGGCAGAGCGACCAGGTCACCAGATCGCGCGCCGAAAGCCCGGGCTGAAGTTAGACCGATCCGCCAGGCAGGAAGCTCTCTCCACCGAAGATCGTTAGCTGGGAAGAAAGGAAGGGGAAAGGGGGAAAAAAGCAGGCGGGTCACCCAACGCTCCGAGGAGGTGGAGACTCCGAGCCGCAAGGAGGGGCTGCCAGAAGAGCAAAGCGAAGCAACTCCTGCCTGCGGGACAATGATTAACTCCGAGCTACCTGCGTCGCCGCGCGCAGTTCTTCCTCACCTTCGTGTGTGGGGCGGGGCGATCCTTCCCTGCCGTGCCCGTAGCTCCGGGCAATACCGTCGTGCCGCCCCGAAACTTTTCCTTTCCCTCTCGATTTCAGGAGAACGGCGAGACCAGAAGCTCCATCACCTGCTGGAGGTGCGATTTCCCAGTTGACACCCCGAATGTGTCAGATTATCAGAGTTGGAAGGGACCTTGGAGGTCATCTAGTCCAACTCTCCCACCCAAGCAGCAGACCCTACATCGGGTAACAAGGACACAAAATATTTTGCATTAGATTCCTTTTCACACCGGCGCGGGAAGAGTTCTTGGAGGTAGAAGTCCCTATGCTTTTCATCATTTCCTTTTAAGGTCATTCTTCGGTAATAGTGTTTTGGGTTTTTTAAAATCCGTTTTGCCTTCACTCATTTGATTCAGGCGGAGAAACCACAGATATTCCGGATTAAGATTTAGTACAGGTTGAGCTCAATAATAAATCATTACCATCCTTCTCATCCTCCTGGTTTTGTCCGAAGTTTTACATTGGATAAATGGCAGCTTTGACTGTACCATCTTACCAGAGATGAGATATGTTGAGGAGTTGCTTTTCTTGCGTCCTGAAGTGCAAAAAAGGCTTTCCTAGATTACAACCCTTCTCTAAAGTAAAATACACATATAACCATCTTGGATCAGTGCAGGATTTTAAACGATGTTAAAAACTCTTCCCATTTGCTACATGGTACAAAGTAATGACTCACGCACACCTATCAACCCATAATGGATATAATGGTTCTGTGAATATATTTTAGCAATGCTGTGTCAGAATTTTGTATCAATTCTCTCATGAATACACTTGGCCTTAGGTGATATTGTCTGTTATAGGTAAAAGCTAACAATTTCATAATAGGATATCGTATATTGTACAACAATTGAGCAGAATTTCAAAAGCTTTCATGCATTCTCCACTCTAAAAAGTTAACAATGAATGATGGTGAGAGGTTCTTGAACTTGTCGTAGAAAAAAATGTCACAAAATTGAGATGAATCTTTGGTCATTTGTATATGTGAAGAGCTCAATGAAGTGGAAAATTTCCATTCAGTGGACTAAAATTTTTACCTAATTGCTTGAGAAAAAAGGGTCATTGTGCCAAGTGGTATCCTACTGTGAAGTTTCCATCTGGAGATGTTGTGCTTTAAGATTAAGGCACCCACCTGTGTCATGTTTCAAAGCCCACTATAAAGAAACCACAGAAGCCAAATATTCCAGCTTCACCTGTTCTGATACAATTATATTACCAGATACCATTTCTGTGGTCATTGGGGACATTATGTTTAAAATGCAGCTTGTGGCCCGTACGCTATGCTATAATAATATGTAGTTGGGTTTTGAGGGGAAGATCTTTATAAACAGTGGTTTATTTGGAGACAACAAACATTTTTTTATAATTCCTTGTTTACCACAAATTGTTGCTTATTTTAGTCATGGCTTCTGATTATAGCAGAACCAATGTAATGGCTTATGCTTGGCTTATTTTTGATGTGTTTTATACTTTGACTAAACCCAAGTTATAGAAATCCTGCATTATAAAATAATAAAAGAATGTGCATGACATGAACACACATGTTCACACAAAATGCTTGCAGTTGCTAAGAGTTGACAATTACATTATTATGTTGGTTGCATAGTCAGCCAGATGTTTAGACTGGATTTGGCATTTTTATCTACCTATTGAGTCTTTTCCAAGGATCTGCTATAGGCAAATCTTGTTTAATAATATCAAAGGTATCATCGCAAGATGTAAGCAGTTCCCAAAAAAGCTGCCTTTTGAAATTGACTGATGGTGATTTTGCCAATCCTAATGGTGTTCATGTGGTGCTTCACATGTTTTGGAATTGTACCCAAAGGAGCCTATCACTATTGGTACTATCTTTGCTTTCTTTTGCCAGTCATTCTACTTCTATTTGCAGGTCTTTATATTTTGTGATCCCCCCCTCCCAGTTCTTTCTCTTCTACTCTCTCCAGGTACTGTAATTTCCACTATACAGATTTTTGTATCCTTTTTTATATATCACTCAAGGCAGTAAGTATACCTGTTCATTCTGCCTATTTTAGCACGTTATCTATCAATCAATCTATCTCGATATAGTCTCTTGATTGACGTTATAGCCAAACTATGTGAGAGATTTTAATCTTGGGTTTTTGTTTGGAATTGCATCAAAGAGAATTACTCCAATGATTGAAATAATCAGAATATTAAATAATATTCTGAAGTAATCAGCATATTATTACTTTAAAGGAGGGGAAGAACAAGGGTAGGGTAGGTGTGGATAGAGAGGAAGGGCAAGATTTAAAATTACAAAATCTCTTTAAAATAATTAACATTGATTAAAAAAAAGTTTCACTGAACAGAACTATCCAAACTCACAAGAGAAACAAAAGTTAGTATAGAAAGAATGTTATTTCCCTAAAATATTTGTGTATTTATATCACAGTAATTTAAAATACTGAGTTAACCTCTTCTGTAGAAAATCAAAATCTATATCATTTAATATATTTTCTTGCTGCCAACTGCCATTTCTTTCACTTAGGTCTATAACTGTGTTTGGTTTTAAACTCAAGTAATGATCAATTTCAAAAATACAATTCCTTGCCTATATAAAGTAAGCCTTATATAGCTGTACTTCCAAATATGCTATAGATTATTATTCTGTCAGTAGTATCTGTTATCACAATTTGATTCAGAGCATTTTGAATTAGGTGGCTATGATTCTATACTGCCTAGACCAGTGATGGCAAACCTTTTTGGCACCGTGCCCAAACTGGAATGTGCATGCCTGCGCATCGGAGCACCCAAAACCCAAAGACCAGCTGGCAGGTGTGCGTGCCGGCCAGCTGATCTTCAGATTTCCGGCACGTGCAATCACGCCAGCCAGCTGCTCTTCGCACGCACCAGAAACTAGCTGGCCGGCGCACACCAGAACACTGAAAACCAGCTGGCTAATGTGTGCATGCCTGTTTTGGGGCTGTTTTCAGCCCATTTTCCAGGCCGTTTTCTCGCCTGTTTTTGACCTGAAAACGGCCCCAAAATGGGCTGAAATAACCCAGAAAATGGTCAGAAAAGGGCCTGAAAAATGGCCTATTTTGGGGGCTGTTTTCAGGCCGATTTTGGCCCCAAAACAGACCCAAAAGTGGCCTGAAATTTACCTGGAAAATGGCCTGAAAACAGCCCAAAAAACAGCCTGAAACGGCCCGAAAAATGGCCTGAAAATGGCCGGAAAAACCTCCAGTTTTTCAGGCTATTTTCTGGTGCTCTGGTGCCCTTGAAGATCAGCTGGCAATGGGGTGCATGCCCAGAGAGAGAGCTCTGCGTGCCACCTCTGGCACGTGTGCTATAGGTTCGCCATCACAGGCCTAGACATTGTAACAACTGTTGAGTTTAAATCTGGCTTGCGAAAAATCAACATCAGTCACTATTTCTATAACAGGTAGCGCAAAGCTAAATGTATGGGGTCAGCTCTGCATAACAATGAACTTGCTTGAACCTAGTTGTCATATGAGAAGAAAACAATTCCATCCATCCTTGCCCTCAGTAAGCTTTCTCCCATTCAATGTTTCTGTGGTAGCATATGCTAAAATAATGGCTCCTCAACCCTAACCCTGAGATCCAGATATAAACTTGTATTTTACATTAACAGTAAAGCAGACGTAAAGTGAGATTTGGACATTGTGAAACCTACTGGGTCAGACTGGACAGCCTCTTAGAGCCCCTTTACTTCTATATTAAAAGCCACATAGACAGAGTTGGAACTTGCAAAAGAAACAGGAAGCCTGTGCCTAACCACAAGATGTCCCTATGTCAAAAAGCCTATGTCGAAAGTCCAAGGTTCAATTAAAGTTTATTAATGACATGTACTCCATAAACAAAAGGAGAAGTAAGACCCCATCTCCTTATAAGGTTTTCTCAAGGTAACCACTAAGAAATGTGTTAAGTNCCTGGAAGTCAACCCAAAGGATATTATCCCATGGATTCATTAGTTATTGATTGCACAGACATGCCCAAGTGTGGGCTATATAAGGCAATGCTAGTCATAAATGGGTGAATGCATTGCCACTGGCACTTTGGCCTGTGTGATGCTCTACACAAAAGGGAATTAGGTTATCTCCTTTTGAAATGATGTTTAGGAGACCCCCAGGTATACGTGCTAACTTGAGACATCATATAGGGCACCTAGGTCAAATGGGGGCCTCATGGGTGAACCAAATGGTGAGAGAATTAAACAAGCAAATACAAGAAATCCAAAAATGCTGTGTGTCCCTCAGTCCACCATTTCGGAGCACCTCCAGTCATAATATTCAAGTGGGAGACAGAGTATGGGTAAAACACTGGAAAGGGGACAATTTGAAACCCAGGTGGAAGGGCCCGTATACTGTGATCACGTGTTCTCCACTTGCAGTAAAAGTGTTGGAATCCCAGTTTTGGATTCACTGGACTCGAGTTAAGCCAGCTGCTGATGAGTATTGGGAAGCAGACCAGGATGAAGCCCGTCCTCTAGTGATATGCTTAAAGAAACGCCCCCTAAAAACTTCCCTACCGGCAACGGGCAGAATATACGGGGCAGAAGAAGCCCTACTAAAGTCACCCCCTGGAAGCTGACTTCTCGACATACGGCTGAAGATTTGGAGGAGGAGACAATGTATTAGAAATTTTGAGCACCTGTCAGGAAATGGCAAGCCAAGTATTCATAGTCATAACTGCACTTTAGTGAATGTACTTATTTGTTGTATTGTATATTCATCCCTCAGAAATTGACCCCCTCCAGAGGAAGACAGGTGCTGAGGCTAAAATCATTGACTGTGACAAAGAGGAGTGCGAATCTTCTGATGACACTTATGTTTGAGGGACCGTGGGAATGGGTTCTTTGCAGTATAATAGGAGTTTTTGGATTGTGGGTGATATGTTTAGCAAATAAGATTTTGTTTTGTGGATTGCCCAAAGCTGATATTACCCTTGCTCAAACTATATATAACCCCTGCCTTCTCCCTGACGTGGTGATTCAGTAGGCTAAAAGAATTGTGTTAGAAGAAGTTATGCGTGAGGGACAGTTATGAGCTTTTTGTGGCTCTGGCTATTATTGGCAAAGGACTTGCTAAGTGATAACGTCGTGGAGAGTAGTTCCCAATGTTGCGAAAATACCCGTGCAACACCCCTTGCTCTTGAAGAAAGATCCGAAGATGCTAAAAATCCCGGAGAACAGGGTGGAATCAAGTTACAGGATGTGGAACAGGTCCGCTCCCATCAACAGCGCATCATTTATGCTTGGGGACGGAACCGTAAGCCAATCCCAACACCTAAAGTCAATTATCTGACAAACCCTGTAAGAAAAAGGGCAGAGCATAGGGAAAACGGGCCCCTGCAACAATTGAGAAAAGGGAACTATACGTTAAGAGTGCTGGAGTTAGGTCAATGCCTAATTAATCAGACTGATTCTGACCTAGGCCAAAAATGCTGGTTGTGCTTGTCTGCAACCCCTTCATCTTACAATGCTGTTCCAGTTGAGCTAGATTTTTGGGAAAAGACCAAAGCTACAATAGTCTTTGACAAGGGAGGTAGATGGGGAACCAAAATGGCAGAAGCCCAGCTGCAAGGTGATCTGTATGAGGCACTCAAAAGACTGGGGATGAGCTGTCTCCCCATCGTTGGCCCCATAGCCGTTGGTGTAGAAATCATAGGGTCACCCTCCTTGTGAATCAAATGATATCAGGAACCTGGCATTCCTGTGGGGTCACTGTCAGAAGAACAATGCCCATCTGAAATGTACCTTGCCTCTCGGAAGACACTCGTGCACGTGAAATTAACTCACAGCATGTCTCCCTCTGCTCACAAGCTCTTCCAACAGAAAGTCACTTTCTCGCTCACACCTCCACTCGTTTTTAACCATCGGGAGGGCTAATCTGACTACTGGAAGGTGCCCAAGGACATTCCAGCCACCCTGACTTCCCATTTGGTGTTCTATACAATCCACTAAGACAGTGGTTCCCAAAGTGGGTGGTACCGCTCCCTGGGGGGCAGTGGGATGACTTGGGGTTGGGCGCTAAGAGGCAAGGGGGGCAGCAGGGGGCGCTAAGAGGCAAGGG